AGATGGATAAACAAAAAAAGAAATACAAAAATTGAACTTCACGGGTGTGCTGAGGCATCGGAAAAGGCGTATGGAGCAGTCGTTTATTCAAAAATCATCAATGACTCTAGACACCCAATTATATCGTTGTTCGCCGCCAAATCAAAAGTGGCACCTGTAAAAAACAAAACCACACTCCCGAGGCTAGAACTGTGATGATAGGATGATAGACCAACATTGGAAGAAAGGAGGGTTAGCAGCAAATCAAACATGGTAACAAAGAAAGAAGAATCGATCTGCGAGAGATTTTCATCATACTCCAGAATGTTGCGGTCACTAGCCTACTGTCTTCGTTTCACGAACTGGAAGAGAACTAAAAGAATGGGGCCACTGACAGTGATAGAGATAGAACAAGCACTCATAAAAATAGTCAGATCAATTCAACGAGAGGCATTTGAAAGGGAGATGCACAATCTAGAGAACAATAAACCCATGGACAATAAAAGTAAAATTTCCAATCTAAGCCCATTTATCGATCAAGAAGGCATTCTAAGAGTAGGAGGAGGGCTTTAGCATTCATTGTTAAAATACAGTAAAAAACATCCAATAATTCTACCCTACAAACACCATCTGACGACATTAATCATCAAGGACGCTCATATGAAAAATCTTCACGGAGAAAATCAGATGACTTTACCCTATGTCAGAAGAAGATTCTGGATAGTAAACGCGAAAAAGGCGGTGAAATTCATTATACACCGTATTTCGGCTGAATATGGGATTTTAAAAGAATTGTTGGCGAAGCCACCCTTACGTTTGAAGAAATAACCACAATATTGTGCCCAATAGAAGCATGTTTTAACTCCCGACCTCTGTGTCCATTGACAGACGATATCAACGATTCAGGCGCACTAACACCAGGGCATTTCTTGATTGGGAGAGAATTGATGACACCAGCAAATCCAACGTCAGCAGACGTAAGTGACAATCTAAAGGACCGTTCGAATTTGATTCAAAAGAGGGTATGGTCGGCAGAATACCTTCATGAACATCAAAAGAGGTAATCATAAAAGACAACATGACTCCGTCAAAATGGCCATTAGCAAGAATAAAGGTGGAACACCTGTCAAACGACAACCTCACAAGAGTTGTCACGCTTCGGAAAACGGGTGGCATATCACTAAAAAGACCCCTTCCAATGGAAAACAAGGCAGAAACTATGAACAAAGCTAAAAAAGGGATCGTTAGCAACACATGTGGGTGAAAAGTTGTCCTAGTCACTGCCACTATTGTGCGGTACAACCAAAGCATCAACTGAATTATACATGTTTAAAGTTAAGGTAAACAATGAATTTTCGACAACATATTATATGCCACATCATGGGGTATTCAAAAATGATAGTACCACCACCAAATTAAGGTTACTTTTATGCCTCAGCAGCTTCCACCACTGGCTTTTCATTTAATGACATCCAAATGGTGGGTCCAGTCATACAATACGGCCTAATATCAATACTTCGTATGCACAAATATGTTATTTTTGAGGATTGTGAGAAAATGTATCGCTTGGTATTAGTAAACCCAGTGCAAAGAGCACTTCAAGGCATTCTTTGGTGCGAGGCCCCTTTAGATGTTATGCACATTTATCAATTTAATACAGTAACCTACGGTACTGCTGCTGCTTCGTTTCTTGCAATAAGATGTTTATTTGAAATTGCTAACATGTGCAAAGTATCTGATCCGCTTATTTCAAATATTATAAAAACACATTAACTTTTAAGAACGTGTTGTTTTAATTTAAGAAAATGGGCTTCTAATGATTCTGACGTTATTAGCGATGTAAGTACAGATCGTGACAAAAATAAAAACATTAATTTGGGAGACAACGAAAACATAAAAACGTTGGGTTTAATTTGGGCTTGTGATTTGGATCTATTATTTTATAATAGAAAATATTCCCTAGAAACAAAAATTACAAAAAGAGGTGTTCTTTCTGAAATTGGACAAATATTTGACCCTATTGGTCTGTTATCTCCATGTGTGGTACAAGCTAAAATTTTAATGCAAAACTTGTGGCTGGAAAAACTGGGGTGGAAAGATCCCTTACCGGAAAAAATGGTTAAATGGTTAAATTTTAGGAAAAATATAATTTTATTAAACAATTTAAAAATCCCACGACATGTTGTTATAAATATATAATATAAATTATAAATATATAATTTTAAATACTTAGAAAGTACAATAAAAATGTACTGATAAGGTTATTGTGCCCTTAAAGTCGGTAAAGATACCAAGACTTGAACTGTGCGGTGCGGTTATGTCAGCAAAATTATATGAAAAAGTAAAAGTATCATTAAACCATAATTTTCAAAATATTTACTTTTGGACAGATTCTACTATATGTCTTGCTTATATTAATACAACTAAACAATAAATATAAAAACAATCTTCAACATAGAAGGTGTCCCTAAACTTAGTGGCATAAATTTAGAAGCAGATTAAGCAAGTCAAAATAAGACGAAAATCTAAATAAATATTTTTCCTAATTACGTATGTTTAAATGATACAGGGTGATAAAGTGTTACTTATCATATCAAATTACAAATTACTCAGTTCGGCTACTATTAAAAAGGTGTACCTCTCAAACTTCGATAAAATTAACCGTTCTCGAGATATTCGAGATTACAATAATTGTTATATCGCATTAAAAAACTAAAAGTTATATGATAAAAAAATTTAATTGAAAAAACTACATTTTTTTTAATGTGACGGCCAGGGCAAAAAGTCCCGAGGCTCATGGAATGCCCTTTTTAGTTTTTTCAATTAAAAAATAAAATTTGTTATCATATACCTTTTAATCCTTTTAAATAATGCGATACAACAATTATTGTAATCTCAAATATCTCGGAAACGGTTTATTTTATCGAAGTTTGAGAGGTACACCTTTTTAATGGTAGCCGAACTGTTTAATCGATAAATTGCATCAAATGTTACAAAAACCTAACCTCAAAGTTTGTATGGGACAATAAGCTTAAAGCAACCCCCGTTTCTACGACACTGTGTTCACTCAAACAATTGTAATTATGTGTGAATATGTGTTTTGGTAGTAAGTGACTGTTCGCAAAATATCACCTTTCCAAGTCTACCATAGTAGAAGTTATATTAAAAAAACTGATATGATAAGTAACACTTTATCACCCTGTATCTTTTAAACATACGTAATTAGGAAAAATATTTATTTAGATTTTCGTCTTATTTTGACTTGCTTAATCTGCTCCTAAATTTATGCCACTAAGTTTAGGGACACCTTGTATAATAATTTGTAAGAAATTTTTTTCGTTACGAAATACTGGTAAATTATCGCAACATTTATGATAAGGTGTTTATGAGCAAAATTTTTGGAACAAAAATTGTCATATAAAAATCTTGTTTTTCCAGGACAAGGGCACCGAGCCAACGACCTTGGTTGCTACTAAACGCTACTCCAGCCATTTACATTGCAGCATTTATATTATTATATTGGTAACACTGGCTTACTGCTACTGCTACTCCTACTTTATAGAACTATAAATCAGGCTCAACGGCTGAGCGTAACGGCCAAACATAGTAACGAAATCACACCTTAATGGCAACTAAAACTTATTTACTAAACCTTTTTTCCTTTTATTGTGATTTATTTATTTACTAGGCTTTGTTTTTTTTTTTAAACATTAAGGGTCAGTTTTTCAATGTGATTTAATCCGAGGTTTAACTTCAAACCCCAAGTTAAAATTAAAAGTTACTTTAATTCCCAGAAAGGGTATGAGTTAAGTAAGAATTAAAATAAAAAGAGGTTCGAAGATCGTTCTGTTGTAAGTGTTTTGTAAAGTGATAATGTGGGACTATGATGTAAATGCCTATATAGTAATGACCAAGAGACCAAAAGTTATTTGTCCAAGAATAAATCATTTTGAAATGTGGGACAATATTGATTTTCTAACCAGATTTCGGTTGTCTCCAAGAACGGTAGAAAATATTTTAGAAGAAACTGTTGATGTAATACAATACCCTACAAACAGGTGAAAAGTATTGCAAGACGGCTCTCAGCTTATTGAGTCCTTCTAAATGTCATATTTTAATTTTGTTCGTTGTAGAAATGACGCTTTATCTGCGGAAAAAAAATTGTTGCTTACCCTGCGGTTTTACGCCACGGGTTCTTAAAATTTTATAATCAAGCCGCAACACTTTCGTTTTCAAACAAATTTCTTTCTACATGTTTAACAAAACCATTTTGTCTTGAATTAGCTGTTCGTTTAGCCGGACAGGTTTGCGCCCCGTCAATAGCTTTCTTGCGATTTCCTAATTTTGTATGCATTTTACTTTCTTTTTAGCCGAAGAAAAAGTTGTAGATCGAGTCTTTTTTTTAGCGCTTCAGTATCACATATAGCAGTTTTATTACACGACATCACTGCCTTCAAATAAATATACCTAATAAATTGCGGGGCATATTCCACTAAAGCAAAAAATAAACTCACCGTAATCTTAAAATTGTAATCAATAAATTTAATAATTTTATAATAATGATCACACTACCTTCGTGACATTCTTTTTTATAAGGTTAAAACCGCAAAACAGAGTCAAAAATGACGTTGGCGTGCAGCCGTTACCATGACAACGCATTACCAACCTTACAAATTTTATACAAACCCAGAGTTGATAAATTCTCACTATGATTGTAATTGAAAAACCCAAACGCGACCTAAACTCGCAGTTGACTTAAGTCAGAGATAAGCCAGAGTTATTCAACTCTGGATTTAACTAGCCTATTGAAAAACTGGCCCTAAAAATGTTATACAAACCTAGAGTTGATAAATCCTTACGATGAATGTAATTGAAAAACCCAAACGCGACCTAAACTCGGAGTTGACTTAAGACAGAGATAAGCCAGAGTTATTCAACTCTGCATTTAACTAGCCTATTGAAAAACTGGCCCTAAGCATAAATGTAAAGCGGTTTTTAATTAATAATAATAAAACGTATACCTGGATCAACTAATCCCTCTTGAAAGGCAGTTCTCATCTTCCTACTGATCCTTTTATTGTCCGGATTACTGAGTGTCCTGAACATGTTGTAGCCAATGATAAGAACGCCGCCGTTTCGGTACCAATCCGTCACTTGGTACTGACGCTCATAGTTTTGCTTGCACGAAACCAGCTCGTACACGTCAAATTCGTCCTCCTTCGGAAGCCATTTTTTAAATTCGTTTTTCCAGTTAAGCACGGTGTTTACAGGACACACGACCATCACGCGTTCTACCTTTGTGGTGTCACTATTTATCAGCAATGTGTGAGCCAATGTAATTACCTTGAAAAAAAATTATACGTTTTAATACCAGTCATTAAGTCTGGAATTTTAATATAATAATCATAACATTATGTTCATAGTTAAGTCAACATTAATCTTAATAATTAAGATTAGTGTTTTTTATCATTGATTTTTCAAATTATTTAAAAAATCAATGATAAACAATAAGTACTCTAAAATTTTGTTACAACTTTTGGGGTAACTGGTTTGATGTGGGTGCAGATTTTATAAAAGAAGCTGGCAACAAAACAATTTTAAACAATGAAGAATAATGTCAGCAGGTACATGGTTTTGATTTCGTCAAAAAACTTTGCAATGATTTATGTTTATAACAAATTGGTAGACATGATAATGGTGTACAGGAAAGCATAGATGAAGCTCGAATTTACGACAACAAATTTCCAATTCGCTTTCATCCCTGTTTCAATACTATAATGGTCGTGATACTGTACAAAAACTTGTCCGCTGAGAAGTTTAGACTACGCTTGCCAGAGGCGCTAATGTCGCCAAAGTTGTTTTTATCACCGAGACTATAGTCTAGTATACCGTTGTTATAATGACAGTTGTCATAATATTTAGACATGAACAGTGGCGTAACTAGAATTTTTTGGCACCAACGCAAAATATTTAAGGAAGTCCCCTTTCAATCACAAATCAAAAATACTAAGTAAAAATAAAACAACGGCATTAATTTTTTTATTTATTTTACATATAAATTATTAAAATATTTATTTTCATAAAAGAAAAACAAAACTGTAAAATAACATTTGGCTAAAAGGTGGACTGTAGATAAAAAGTTTCCAATTTTTCTCAATTTCTTCACGGTGTCCTCTAAAAGCAAGTGAACTTTTAGCTAGCATGAGTGTAATATCAAATAGACATTGCAAAACCATCCACCAAAAAGAAGCCTGTTCTCTTATCCAATTTTCAGTTTCCTCGTCTATGGTCTTGTTTTTCTTCCAGGCATCATAAAGGGCACATGCTTTGACGTGGTGTTTTGAACTACTGTGGACTTTTACTTCGTATGAAATTCCTCTCCAGTCTCGCACACCGGTTTGCCTCTGATTGTCTTGCAACGAAAACAACCAGCAAGGTTCACAATAGGCAGCATCCAAAATCTTTGAATAATGAAGCCAGAATCGTGAGACTGGGCCATATGAAGTTTGAGAATAATACAGTTTTGACGAAAATCTCCTGTACTGCTGCTCTGGACCCTTGGGAAAAAGCCCCATAAACTTTACAAAACCTGAAGAATGCTTGTCAATTATTAGCCTTTTTTGTTCATCTGTTAATAATTAACAAAATAGCCTAACTGTGTCTTTAGTTGATGTTTAGTTTTTAGTTTTAGCACACACGAAAGTTAGTTCGTCTGTGCTTATGTCTGTGGTTTTAGCTACCTGAAGTTGTGGTATACCATCTTTACCGATCAATTCTTTCATGTGGTCTTCGTCTAGAATTATTGTCAACGCATTTCGACGTAGATGGCTGCAAATTTGGCTCAGACTGCGACTTCGACAAAAAAAAAACATGTCTAATTTTGGTAATTTTTCTCTTTTTTTCTCTAACTCTTTTTTTAGTTTCCTTTTAGTTGCACCGCTTTGATATTTTTTGCGGTCACTCAATTTTAGAGCGTTACAAACGATTAACTCATTTTTAGAGCGTTACAAACGATTAACGGATCAAAGAATATAACTATACGCTTTTGGAAACAGGTTCAACTGGTTAAAACGTGTCAACACATTGGAATAAAGAATTCCCCTGAGTATAAAAGCAAAAGCCGCCGCCGCTTGCCGCAATCAAATCGGCACTAATCGTAATCGGCGAATGCCGACTCGACTGCTGACGCAACTTCGCCGCTGTTAATGTGATTTAACTGAATAAGGCAGTACTGTCCAATTCTGCTGCCCGCAAGCGAGTCTCCGGGCCATCGTGGGTTCGGCGCGGGCGGTTGTAGACTAGTGGGGAAAGTACGCATCGATTTAGTCTTGGGCGTTTGGTTCCTGTCGATTTAGTCGTAGTTTGTTGTAGGGCGTTTATATCATATATCTATATATCTATATACCTACCTATATAGATATACAGGGTGTTCCGAAATTAGTGCACCATACTTTAACAGCAGATTCCACGTGCAAAAATAAGAAAAAAAGTCCCTATAAATATAGATCGAGAAATGGCTCCTAAGGGAGCTACAGCCCCCGAAAAGGGAGCCCCTGAATATGGTTTTTATTTAATATTTATAAAAAAGTAGAAACACCCTGTCACTTACTACATGAAACTGTCACCTGTCTTGAATTATTCTATTTTTTCCTAAACATGGCAGTCGTATTCCAAGGACCACGCGAGTCCATTTCTATGGTTGTGATTTAATTGTGAATTTTTATGCCATGTAAAATAATTTTCAAATCGATTTTAAGCGAAAACGGTGTATGTTAACGAAGTTCAACAAGATGACCTTTTTTATGTGCAAAACTCCAAAATTTCATAATCTGACATCAAATTCTAGTACACGATACGTACAAAAAAGTTAAGGTGGTTTTAACCCCACTTCCTATTAGGGCTGTCACAAGTATTCGGTTAACCGGTTAACAGGTTTTTATTTTCCGTGGAAACCGTGGTTACACTTTTAATAAAAACCGGTTTTTTTGACCGGTTAAAAACCGTTTTTTGACCGGTTAAAAACCGGTTTTTTCGACCGGTTGAAATCCGTTTTTTTTCAACCGATTAAAAACCGTTTTTTCGACCGGTTAATAACCGGTTTTTTCGACCGGTTGAAAACCGGTTTTTTCGACCGGTTAAAAACCGTCTTTTCGACTGGTGAAAATCAGTTTTCTTGACCGATCCAAGACCGGTCATAGTCTATAATTTTTAAAAGTTGGACTGTGTGGTGCGGCCTTTGACGGTAAGCACCGCAGCACACGCCGTTCGTGAGTGGCTGTTGCTTATATAATAAACGAGCCCAGAATCATATCATTTGGCCCAGTCACAGAAAAGTCAATATTTTATTTTTTACTTAATTTTGGCAAACACAAAAGAAAAATCTATTGAATTCAACTATTATTATTGTAATAGTTGGATTCAATAGATTTTTCTTTTGTTTTTGTTGTCTAAAATTAAGTAAAAAATAAAATATTGACTTTTCTGTGACTGGACCAAATGTGTATTTACTAAATACACATAAAATACGCATAAATACTATTTATTAAATACCATTTAGATAATTAAAATAAAAATTTATAAAATTCTTTTCAAAAACGGGGTTTTGCCGCCATCTGTTAATAACATTATGAATGACAGTTGTGAATGAAGCTAGATTGTTGAATAAAATGGTTTAACTAGTGTTTTTTATGGATATTTGACTAATTTTGTTGTTTAGAGAGTAATCTTTTGTTTAAAAACATTTGCCTTTACATTAAAACTTACTTTAAGAAGTACCTATGAACCATCATTATAGCATTTGATATATCTTTCTTCGGAAGAAATTCTTTTTCATAGTGGTCTTTATATGCTGCCAAAAGAATTTGATTTGTTGGTTTTTATTTACCGTGCAATTTTGCGGTTAAGTTTTAAAAGAATCATAACTTGGTTAAAAACTCGTTCATAAAAACCAGTTAAAAATCGATTTTTCTGAATAATCAAAAACCGGTTTTGGATCAATTTTTAACCGGTTTTAAAAACCGAATTGAACCGGTCAAATAAATCGGTTTTTTAACCGGTCAAAAAAAATCGGTTTTCTTAACCGGTCCAAAAATCGGTTTTTTAACCGGTCAAAAAAATCGGTTTTTTAACCGGTCGAAAAAAATCGGTTTTTTAACCGGTCGAAAAAAACGATTTTTCAACCGGTCGAATAAACCGGTTTTTTCGACCGGTTAAAAACCGTTTATGTACGGTTTTCAAAACCGGTTTTTTTTTTAAACCGGTTAAAAATCCTATGACCGGTTAACCGCCTCATAATTTTATTTCTGACAGCCCTACTTCCTATCAATCTGACCCAAACCTCATGAAATTTTTTAAATTGTTATTGTTACGTCTTATTGGTCATAAAAAGTTTAATTAATTCCCCAAATTTCACTTTTCTACCTTTAACGGTTTTGGAGATATTAAATAAAAACCATCTTCAGGGGCTTTCCTTTTGGGGGCTGTAGCTCCCTTAAGAGGCATTTCTTGACCTTTGTTTATAGGGACTTTTTTTCTTATTTTTGCACGTAGAATCTGCTGTTAAAGTATGGTGCACTAATTTCAGGACACCCTGTATGGTTTATATGAAAATTTAGGTTTCTTTATTCTTTTTGTATTTTTATAAGTTTTGCAAATGACATGTTTTTTGCAAATAAGGCATTGGGATTCTCCGCCATGCAATTTACACAAATAAAGATATTCCCAGTTTTTATTGAATAATAAACTCCTACGTTTTCGAATTTCGGTATCGTCGATAATAATTATTTCAGGATTCATAATAATAAACCAACAAATCGTCAGAGATCGTTACGCTCGGTACTGTCACTTTGACACTTCTTCTAGCTGTCATAGCACACCATGCATGGCCCGCGCGGGCCCGCGACGTGCCCGGTCGGGCAAAATGCCCGTACGGGCCGAATTGGACATGCATGGAATAAGGTATTTTCTCTGCCTAAAATCGTATGTCGCGTAAAATACGATTTAAGTTATTTAGAATCGATTATTGATCAATAGAAAATATCAAATATTGCTGAAACCTCTTTGTCATAGCGGATACAACTGATTCGGAGTATCGGAGTTTAAATACTGCGGAGGCGACGACCGCGCGAAAATTGTTTAAGAGTCAAAACAAAATGTGATTATTACAAACAAATCGCCCATGATCGGGGTGCGGGGTGTTATGGTTATTCTGGTGATTCCATGTTCAAGGGGTATTAAATTACGCAGAACAAAATAAAAAATAATTTTTGCTTGACAGAAAAGTGTCCCTAGGTTCAGTTAAAAAAAACTTACATTGTTACGAGCTGCTTCAAATATTTGCATAT